AAAAATTACTAATATTATAATCTAGAATATTTTTTGATTGATAAAGTATAATTGAATATATAATTAATATATGATACAGCGTAGAATAATCAATATTTATTATTCTTTTTTCCTGCCAAAACTATTGTTGATTTGAGGAGGGATATAGCTTTCAGAAAATTTAGGTTATGTAGGATCTCCAAATATATTACTCCAAATTAATTAGGAGGAATAAATTCATTAACGTATTTTGATTCTTAGTTAATTGGATTGCTTTAATTTTAAATGACATTATTTTAAATGTTTGTATTCTTTCAAATTTAATTAGTTTATTTGAATCTTTTATTATTTCCCCATTCTCTGTTATCAAGTAAACACTAAAATTTTCTTTAGAGATTTTTGCATCCACCAATAAGTATTATCTATCAACAGGTTTTAATTTATGAGGAAATTCATTATCCATCAAAAAGTTACTTATATCAGGGAAAACTTTATCCTATAAAGACCATACAACCATCTTACCTTATTTAGTAAATAAAAGTAATCTTTTTTCCTGACTGATACCTTCTCCCTAATATAATTGAACTGGAGATTGAAAATATTTTTAATGAGTAATTTTAAGTTCATTTGCAGTTTCTGGAGAGTAAACAAAAGTAAAATGACTATCTTAAGCAATCAAAACGCCATCTTCATTCTAGAAAACACTATTAACTTATTACTTCATTCTAGAAAACACTATTAACTTATTAATTTGAATGAAGACTAATATTTGGACCTTTTTCAAGTGTATCAATACTTAAAGTCTGTAACACACCATCAAGACCTCCCAATATTAAATAATGTTAATCTAATGAAATAATCTATAAAATTGGTTATCCACCTCTAAGACATCCTTTAATTATCACTTATTTAATGAGTGTTCCACTTAATGGTTTATCTAATGATTTTTCAATCTTATAAATAAAAATGGATTTGCTATTATCACATAAAAAGGCTATTTAATCATTCGTAATAGAAATCATCTTTTTAATAGGATCAATAGTTTAAGTTGAAGAATCAACTTAAATAGTATATCAATAAATAATTACAATTGCTTTAAATCTACTTTGACTAATACTAATTCTCCATCATTCGTACCTAAGGCTAATCCTTCAGCTCCTACTTTACACATTGTATTAGTTTTTCTATTTATAGTAAGATAAATTATTATGTTTCATCATCTTTCTTTAACCAGACTACCATACCACCAGCATTATCTGAAATCATTACATTATCATCATCCCATATTATAATTGTATTTACACAATCAGAAAATTGACAATTTATTGTACTATCTATTAAATAACTATCTAAATTCCATATAATAACACTACCATTTACATTGGTAGCAACAATTAGATTTGGTGATTAAAATGCACATTATGCAGCTTCTAAAGGGTTTTTGTGTGATTTAGTAAGATTAGGATATGTTTTCGATTATTCTGTATTAATGATTTAATTAACTACATCAAATACTTCATATGATTCTTTTAATGATCCCAATATCCAAAAATATGGATATAATGCACCTTATTCTTGAGGTAATTAAGGTAATTAATATCGTTCAATAGAATTTGGAGTCAAAACATACATTTGTTCAATAGAATCCATCTTTAATTTAGGTAAACAGGCAATCAATTATAGAATATCTCTTTTATTTTAAAGATTAGAAAAAGTAATTAATTGAATCCCATCTTTTGGATTTTAAAATTATTCTATATCTGAATCAGATTGAATTACTTATTTATCTAAAGAATAATAATTATATTTATAAATTACTTTCCAATATTTCATAGAAATTTAAGAATTCTTCTTGTGGTTTATTAACAAGTAATACAATTAATTAAGATTATTATGATTTATGAATAATATAATAATGATTAATGGAATTTTTTGACAAAGGATTGTAACTCATTGATATCATTATTTTCATCATAATATTCCACATATTAAATAAAGATCTTACCTCTACTTACTAATTTATTATAATAAATATAAAATACTTTTCTTTTATAATAATGCTTTACAAATACCAAATCCATTTGAACGATAACTATACAATTTATTATTAATCTCATCATGAACTTTAAAATATACATTAGGAACTGGACATTTATTTACTAAATCTATAAATTAAAATTAAATAAGATTTATTTGATTTTAAGGAGCAGATGGAGGCTATAAATATTTGGGTTTCTTTATCTTCAAATCACTTGATGGTTTTATAGCATGTTTTTTATCTAATGCATCTTGTACAGTATCATATCCTTTTTCTAAACTATTAGCTTTTATTAATTTATATTTAAATTCACAAAGTCCAGCCTTTGGAGATATTTCACCTTTATAAACTAAATATCCTATTTTCTTCACAAATATATTGAATTGATCAGTTTCACTACTATTTCATACTTTCCACTTCCTGGAGGAGATTCTTTAATATAGCATCCTTTCCACCTCTCATTGGCACTATTTCTACTTCACATTCAGTGAGTGCTGCCATTTAACAAAGTACAGTTACAATAATACAAGAATGTGTTTGTTTCTATAATTCAATTACTTAATCAAGTGGTAAATCATCAGCACTTAATTAGAATAAATTAATTTTCTATTTTCCTATTAAACAATGATACTTATGTTTTGCTCAAAAAGTCATTAGTTTCTTCTATAATAACTTCATAAACATCTAAAGAAACATTTTTTAAAGAGATTCTACCTTTTTAATTTGTTCTTTCTATTTTATGTGTAGAATTCTCTTCTGGTTCTTTTATACGTCTTTATGATTATCCTAAAGTATTAGAATAAGCAGATTTTGGTCATGTCTTTGCACTTTAAGGTCTTTACATGTTATTGGACCTAGATATTACTATATTCAATAATAATTGGTTCAATTTTACACATACTGCTTTAAGATTTTGATTAACAGGTCTATAAGGTTATATTATGACATCAATATTTTTTAATTTCTCATCAGAATCAACAAATTTCAAATCTATATTGAAGGAAACCTTCTTAAAATGTTAAGGTAATTTATTTATAATGACTTAAGTCTATGGCCTTGCTTTAGTACTAAATTTAGATCCAATTACTGCTTATTTTATTTATCCTTTCTATTTAGACATTACTTGCACTTCAAAACTTCTTAATAATCAATTTTATAATAAGAATACCTAATCTACGCTATAAAAACATTGTATCTATACTATGATCATAATGATCGTATATTAATAGTTTAAGAATCAACTTAACGATTGGAAATCGTGAAATAATCTCATTCTTTAGGGCTTAGGCATATGATAGATAATGTGCTTCATATTGTATTATAGATCCCATGTGTTCATTACAATTAGTACTGCAATTAATTTACTCTGTTACCAATATTCAATAGTAACAATCACATCTTCTTCAGAAATATCTTTGAACTCTCTAAACTCTCTAATGCCTTAATGTTATTCACTCTTATTGTGTATCTCTTCATTCTTCTCCCATAACTCTTAAAATGTTCGTAACGTCTTAATTTTTATATTCGTGTACGACAGTCCAGCATCTGAGTGTTCGTACTTAATCATCTGACTAAACTTAATAACATTAATATCAGTACTCATTACGGAATATTCCTAAAGAAATCCAAGGTTTCTCATGTATATTCTCTATCAAAATGATTGTCACAAAGTCTATTCTCAAAATTATAAATACCTAGACATCACCATTAATGATTAATTCTAAGTAAACTTTTAAGATCCCCTAGTTGGTTATGAAAGTTATGATAATCTATCTGATTCATAGTATCTCTACCTTAATTTGTATTTATATATATTAATAGATAATAACAATAAGTTTCAAAATGTAAGGTATTTATAATTAGGATCTTATAATTATTCTCAATCATTATTTCATCATCTCCTTAATAATGCATACCTTAAAATTCCCTATTTATTATATTTCTCCCATTTATCCTTAATATTAAGCTAAAATATATGTAAATTATATTATTAAGTTTTACCTGCATCTACTTCTATCAATAAAAGTTCTTTAATAAACTCTAACAAAGATTCTATTCATCACATTATTAGAATCTTCTTTTTGTCTACCTTTTTAATGTTTTTTTTAATAAATTGTTATTTTTATCTTTCAAATTATATTTAATTATGATCTGAAATAGTGTGCTAGGTCTAGATTATTATTTATTTATCTTCCCTTAATTTTATTAAATGAAAGCAATTAATTAATAGTAAATATTTAGAATCACCAAATAAATTAAATTTATTGATTTTAGGTTTTGTTGAAATTGCTTTTTAGTAATGGATCAATTTTTTATATTTATTTTTCATTTAAATACTCTCTTTCGGCTTTCTTTCTATTTTAAATACTATTTGTTATTTTCTTACTATTTTTAACTAATTCTTATAAAAATAAATAATATGATTTATTAAAATTTAAAATAGATTTTGCTTTACTTTCCTGATAATTCATTTATGAGACTTAATTAATTCATATTCTTATTTTTCTTTTCCTTATAATTCTATTCTTTAGAACGAGATTGTAATAAAGAATACTCTTATAATTATTTAATTATTCTTTTCTTATATATTTCTTTCAATTCTCAAATATTTCTAAGTATTTCTTATTTAGCAATCATTTAATAAAAATAATCATCAAATGACTAACATTTAATAGATATTTCTTTTAATTCTAGTTCATCTTTATCATTTGGTAGATTATCAAAGAAATATATCAACACATTCCATGATATTTATTAATCTTGAATATTTAGATATTCAATCTCTTTTTATAATCATAAACTTTCTTAATTAGAACAATTAAATATGCATATTCTCTATATATTTTTTGTTCTTTTAATTTTAAAATTTCTATGAATTCATCACTTCTTTACAGTTTAAAATCTAATAAATGATTAATGATGAAATTAAAAATAGAATTTCATTATTAGTGAATTCTAATACATAAAGTTTTTAACTAGCTTTGGATATATTTATCCATTATGATATTGTCTAATTCTTGTTTTCTTTGTCGTCTTTCTCTTTTGTAAAGTTAATAACACTAGACAAATAAATTTTGAATTAGAAAATTTAATATTTCTTATAACAACTGCTTGCTATTTTTATATATTAATATCTTGTGACTCTTCATTTTCTTCTGTTTATAATTTAGGTCTTTCAGCTTTAATTCTCTTTTCAATTCCATTTATGTTATCTTTAGAATATTGCTTATGTGATCAATTTCAAGTATTCAATTATAGTATTGGTTGAGCTATCTTTGATACTAAGTTTTAAATTATAGTCCCTTTTCAATTGATTTGCTTTCTGCTACAATTAACTAAAGTATAGTTAAACTGTCATTTTATTTT